TGGTGGCAATTAAAATGGTGTAGCTGCTACAGAAAAGAGTACAGTAGGTCCTCCAAAAAGTAATAATAAAATTACCATATGATTTAGCAATTTCACAAAAGGAATTGAAAGTAGAGCCCTTGCTGGTCTGGCTCAATTGGCAGTGTTGTCCCATACACCAAATGGTCTCAGGTTCCATTCCCAATCAAGGCAGATAACCAAGCTGCAGGTTCAATCCCCAGTTGGAGAGCATACAGGAGGCAACCGATAGATGTTTCTAGCTCACATCAATGTTTCTCTCTCTCTCTCCTTTCTGCTTGCTCTAGAAAAAAAATCAATTAAAAAAAAAAAAAACATATCCTCAGGTGAGAATCCCCCCCCCCCCGCCCCTTCAGGTGAGAATTTAAAAAAAAAATTTTTTTAACTGAAAGTAGCCCAGCCAGAAAAAGAAATTAAGCCAATTGCCTGAGCTGCAATTTAAGCCTGTACTAAATAAGTTAATACAGGTATGGAATTTATTGCATTGCAATTATCATAGTAAATACAATAAATACTACTTAGAAGTTGTTATAAGAGTAATATAAAGCTTAATAAATAAATATATATGTTAAATAATTAAAGAGATATGTTTAATTGTTTAAATAATTTAGAGACAGAGGTTTATTGAATTGTTTTCCAGAAAATACATTAAAATCTCTCTCTCTCTCTCTCTCTCACACACACACACACACACACATACAACTCTCTTCAGCATTATGATGATTCCACTTAGGATTCATATTTTCATTAAGTCCTCTATATATATGTTAGATAATTATATGTTAAATATTATTTAATATGTTAAATAAGTATATATATGTTAAAATAATAAATTTTCATCTAGAAAAAAAAACAAATATGCTGCCTCAGGAAGACCATTTTAAATTTCCTACTCATCTTGGTGTTTTCTATTATTCCCTTACTTTTGGCATAAAATATAAGATTTTTCTGGCCTCAGTCTGACTACACACCACGCATGACATCACATCCACTGGAGTTTCCCACACAGTGTAAATCTGTGTATTATACAGATGATGTAGTATAATATCATACACTTTAAACATATATAATCTTATTAACCAATGTCACCTCATTAAATTTAATTTTTATTTAAAAAAAAAAAAGATTATTTTTCCTACATAATTCCATTCAAGTTGTCAAAATTGGTAACAACAGTTCTGAACACTGAAGACGGTCTAAGGTTAAAGTAAGATTTTTAGCCTTTATATGACATTTTCCCACATGTATCATCCAAGGCACAAGCTCCAGGTTTTCAGAAGAAACCTCCTCAATTTTCACAGTCATAGCCCACTTTCTTCAACCCACCAATTTTTAGTTGATTCTTGAAATTATATGTTTGTAACAAGAGCTGGTATAATCACAATCACTATAACAGGATAACAATAACGTCAGAACTTCATATCTCTTTTTGAGAAGATCTCAATAATTGTTATTTATTCTTCCTAATTTTGAGACAGGTAGGCTGAGATGAGGTTGGTTACAGAAGTCTCATCCCCATGCCTACCCTGGGCTCATACTGCATTTCAGTTGTAACGGGGCACATCAACTAAAGTAATGCTTGGGCCATACTTGCAATTTATTTCCATGGTGCACTCAAGATTCTCCACAAAATAAACTCATTTTAAGGGAGAAGAGAACTAAAGCTTGGTTTAAGGAGTGCAGTACTCCTCCTTTAATTAAAAAGAATTCTAGTATGGCTGTGACAATTGCCTTAGCAGCACAGGTAGCAGCAATAAAGGTAGCAAAAATTTCAGGATAAGACACTGGCATCCCCAACATAGATGATTTAAGTATCATCAACTACAACAACTTTTAATGCAATGTTTGATATCAGCAGTGATAAGAGAGAGAAAAATAATGACTATATTTATTAATCACATACTAAGTTACAGGCATTATATTAGACTTTACATAGCTTATCTCCTTAAATCTGCACAATAATCTTATAAATGTGCATTATCCCTGTTTTAAAGACAGAATAAATAACTTGCCCAAGATAAGTCAACTGTTAGAGGAGTACTGCTAAGATCTGAATCCAGGTGTCCGTCTCCAAAGCCTATAACATTCCAAATGTAAGAATCAAAGAAAATTACCACCAATAGAATGAATTTGCAGTGCCCATATCAAATACCACCTGGAAATTTCAAAATGTAAACCTTGAGGAGGAATATATCTGCCAAGAAGGACCCCTCATGGTTAACTGGGCACAAATTCATAACTACAGTCTAGCAGCCATTGCTAACAGAAGCCTCTCATGCATGCTGCATTTCAAGAAAAAACTTCAGACTGAGCCTTCAGCTTCCCGCCCTGTACTCCTGCCATCTAAATCAATCCTTATAAATGAGTTCCTGGTATCACCTTACAATCAATAAACCGAGACCTATCCTGCCCAATCAGAAGTGTGCAGCTATAGCTTCATTTGCATCTATACTGACCAATCAGAGCTGCTCCATAATGACCACTCTGACCAATCAGGACCATGCTACTTGAACCAATCAGAACTTTGCTATTTGGAGTCCTTATCTGAATAAAGAATGGACCAATTGGGAACCAGGGTATGAACTTTATAAAAGGCAGCTTCCACCGTCTTGGTGGAGCCCACTTTTGCTTTCCAATGGAGGCTGCCTTTCCCCAGTTTACAAATTGTTCATTTGAATAAAGTTTCTCCTCTTTTCATGCCCCATACTGGGGACTCCTATTGACATGAGCTTGGTGGCTGCAAATTTTTGTTGATCACAACTATTTAGAAAAAGTTGAGAAGAAATAGAGTTCTTATTGAATAGATTTTAGGAAAAGCCAGAATTTTAGACCTATTATTATTAAAACTTAGCCCCAGATTGGTATAAAGCCTGAAAAGTACAGATTTAATAAGATAGTTTCATAGAATCCTCACAATTAGTGCTCTTTTTCATAACAGCATTAATATGCATTGATGTCATTTGAATTCCATGATAACAGTAATCATAGTGATTACTTATGCTTACTTATCTAAGTAATTACTTATGATGTACTGTTATCATGGAATTCAAATGCCATAAGTTTTACATAAACCTTCAATAATAACAAATATTTATATATTTTACGTGCACAAGGAATTCTCACATGTGAAATTTAAGAAATAATAAACAATTTTGTGAGGTAAAAAAGTCACTCAAAATTATTTAACAACTCAGAAAACCAAAGCTTGAGGTTAAATGATACAAACGTTAACCCAAGTACACAAAATTCAAAATGTATTGAGCTAATCACTGGGTATAAATACAAGTAAGACATGATAACTCTCTTTAAGGAGCTCATGGTCCAGGAGAAAAGGCAGAAATAAACATCTCTAGGATAAAATGATAATGTACTTCTAATAACCTCTAATTATACATTACATTTATTAGTAACTAGATGATGCCACTGAAATTCTTCATTTTTCCAGAAAATTCAGAAAGAGATTTAATAAAGTATAAACTTAAAATTGTTATTGATAATTCACTAAGTGAACCTAGGTGAAAACATAAAATATCTTCCAAAAGGAGAAAAATTCATAAAATTTTTAAGTTCATAAGAAGTAAACAGTTTATAAAATGAAATGTGTTAGAAATGTAAGAAATTTGTTATAGATCTTTAAAGAGGCAGTTATAAATACTCTTTGATGTAATTAGGCTTACAAGAAAAATACAAACCAGAAGTTACCTCTGGATGGTTCAGGAGAAAAAAAAAGACTGGATCAGTAATTCTTCATTCATATCAAAACTATTTATTGTAGTGGCTGAAAGCGAGAAGTTCACAATAAAATGAAAGTTAAGCCCTGGCCAGTTTTGCTCAGTGGTTAGAGCACCAGTGGGGGACAGAGGTAGACTAAAGGGTCGCAGGTTCAATTCCGGGTCAAGGGCATGTACCTGGGTTGCAGGATAAGGTTGTTAGGGAGGCAATCAATCGATGTATCTCTCTCACATTGATGTTTCTCTCTCTTCCTCCCTCTCTCCCTCCTGCTCTATCTGAAGATACACGCAAAAATGTCCTCGGGTGAGGATAAAAAATTAAAAAATAAATAAAAATCAATGAAAAAATTCCCTGGGTGAGGATTAATAAAAATAAGAAAAGAAAGTTAAAACATCTATTAGTATTTACTAACTGATATCCCCTAGCTTTTCCACATAATTTTTCTTATTTACAATCCCGACTCTTCTAGAACTTAAAACAAAAGCAACTTCAAATTTCCATTTCTCTTATTGGCACGTAAGCCATGTTTACTAATAAAATTCAGCTATCTCAACCCATTTTTTTTTTAGTTTAAATATGTTCTTTTATTGATTTTTTTTTTAGAGAGAGAAAGGGAGAGAGAGATAAAAACATCGATGTGAGAGAGAAACATCGATCAACTGCCTCCTGCTTACCCCCTACTGGGGATCAAGCCTACAACCCAAGCATCAAACCAGTCTATGGAATGATGCTCAGCCCACTGAGCCACACAAGCCAGGCTCAAACCATTTTTGTGAGAAATGCGTTCAGCCATTCATTCAGCAAGTATTTACTAAGTACTAAGTGCCAGTACAGTCCAGAATCGGGATATAAAAACATTAAATAAGACAAGATGGAGAGGTGGCTGGATGAACAGACAGACAGATGAACAGGACAGAGAAGGAGGGGGAGGAAACAGATGTCAGGGGTATGGATTTCAATTATACCAGACAAATTAAGTAAAATAGGTAACTAAATTTTCATTAGGAGACTGCATCCATTTTCCCAAAGCATAAGTAGAGTAACCAGTGATTTTTAAACTGATTATTAGCCATGTATAAACTGTTGGTTCCGAAACCCATTCCAGCCGCCAGGAGAGAAAAACATCATACTAGCCATCAGATCACATTTGCCTCACATTTTGTAATAATGTATCTGTGGGGGAAGAGTAGAAGAGGGCTCAAGAAAATAAGTGTAATATTTATATTGAGTAAAGTTATCACTAAACATACCTTTCAGATAAAAAGAAGTTCTTGTGAGTATTTAGATTCTGACAAGATTCTAGGCTGCCATCAGATGATGAAGAAAGCTGCTCTGATTGCAAGTTGTCTGTATCACCCAAAGTGGCCTCAGTTACAGGAGAGGTCTTTATGTATTTTCTTCCTAACTCCGTTCCCAGGATATTCGTCAATATAACTCTGGGTATCCTGTCACACAAAATAACAAATACTGTACTGTACTGAAGTCTGCAGTAAAAATTATATTCTAGGAAGTTGAATTTTCAAACATTTTCATCTTAGCACAAGTGAGCTGTAAGAACTATACCACCCTAGAAATCAACCTGTAAATACTCAAAATTTTGGAGGTATACACTCTATTTTTGTTTCTAGAAGTACTTGTGTCTTATTATTTGGCATAGATTAGCCTACCACTACAATGGCTTTAACTGTCATAATGGCTGCTATTGAGGTGCTTAAAATTTTAAACAATTTTTCTCAAAAAATGCTTTCCTTCTCTTTTTCAATAATTATTAAAAATGCAGATTACTGGAAACCAACTCAATAAATCATTATTCTTCTCATTCTACATAAAGGTCCTCAGTAAGTAATATTTGTAATTGGCAAAGAGAGACGACAAACGCAAAATCCAACAAGAAAGAAGACATCATTCAGATTGCAACTAAGGTAATGACAGATTCCATAAGTAAAACAGCACATATATTGATGGCAATATATATAATTTATATAATAGCATCAGGGAAAAAGTCAGTAAATTAAATGTTTATAAAATGAAAGTGTATTTTAAAAGCTCTAAACTTTTCTTAATTGGCAGGGTTCATATCAAATGTACTATATAACCCTGGTATCTTAAACAGCAGAGGATAGTACAATCTTTTCTTGGTTAGCCAGTTGTATTATGAACAATTGATGTACCTTCTCATGCTACAATGATGCCCTTGAGGCTACCATTTGGCCCTGAACTGACTGGCCCAAGCCAAATTATTATAATCTTTTAGTGTCCACAACTGCATTTTTAAGTTTTCATATCACTGTTATCAATATGTCATTAGCAGCACTTTACTGACCCTTTGTGAAAGACAATAGATTAACACTCAGAACTGTCAAAGTACTTTGTTTAAGTGAATTTGTGACCATCTTTATATTTTATTATGTTTGCTGTAGTACTTAGAGAGGTACTCTATTTTTGCTACACGAAGGCACTATGTTCTTTTCATTATGTACAAAACAGCATAGGATTTCAAGTCTTAGGAGTACTTTAAGATAATTTGGTTTTCTGTTTATTTTAAACACGAAGAACTCAAAGTTCAGAAAAGTTAATTGCTTGCCTGTGTATAAGTAATTCTTCCTAGTAGAAGAATCTGGGCCTGTTATGTTCTGGTTTTTAATTTTATTCCATTACACTGTATCCACAACACTAACATGACAAAGGATCCACATAACTAAGCTTTTCTATCAGCACATCAAGAAACCTGTAGAAATATCCATTTCCAGTACAACCACCACACAAAAAAAAAATGTACTGCAATAATTACGTACTATCTATAATCTAAAAACCAAGATATAGCAAATACAGGGTGGGGCAAAAGTAGATTTACAGCTGGGAGTATGCAAAACACATAATTAATAAAGCTATTGTGTCCTGGCCAATAGGGCTCAGTTGGAGTATCGTCCCATACACCAAAAGGCTGGGGGTTTGATCCCCAGTCAGGGCACATACCCAGGTTACAGGTTCCATCCCTGGTCAGAGTACAAACAGGAGGCAACCAATCAATGTTTCTCACATCTATGTTTTTTTCTCTCTCTCAAATCAATAAAAACATATCCTCAAGTAATGATTAAGAAAATAAAAATAGTCCTGGTCAGTGGGGCTCAGTTGTGTGGGTCTCATCCCATGCACTTAAGGGTTACCAGTTAAATTCCTGGTCAGGGCACATGCTGGGATTGCAGGTTCGATCCATAGTAGGGGACATGCAGGAAGCAATTGATCAATGTTTCTCTCCCCTATCAATGATTCTCTCTCTCCCTCCCCTCTCTCTCTAAAATAAATAAAAACATCTTTAAAATTAAAATTAAAATAATAAAGCTATTGTAATAATCATAACCTGCATGTCTTTTTCCATACAAACAATTGTAAACCTACTTTTGCCCCACCTTGTACAACTCCTTGAACTCAGAGTTTAAGTGAAGAAAGAAGGGAAAGGAAGTCTGTCATCTACTACAACCACTAATTGTGAGGAGGAGAGGGGGTATATACATATATATATATATACACATATATATATTCTTTTATAATGTCTATCAGATCCTTTGCCCAGTTTTTTTTTCTTTTTTAATATGTTTTTATTGACTTTTAGAAAGAGAGGAAGGGGAAGGAGAGAGAGAGAGAGAAAAACACTGATGACAGAGAAATGTCAATCGGTTGCCTTCTGCACATCCACTAGTGTTGATCAAGACCACAACCCAGGCATGCGCCCTCACCAGGAATCGAACAGCAATATTTATGGTGCCGGGGTCCACACTCAAACACTGAGCCACACCGGCCAGGCAGCAGAGATATTTTTCTACCTCCTTGCATGACTTACATCTCTAAGGATCCTGTTTATTATTGTCTGCTTTGTATATCTAATGCCTGACAGAACCCTCTTTAAACATCTGGAATTGAAATGGTATTGGGGACAATATAGGACCAGTAAGGAGTCTCAAGATTTCTTTATCTGACCTCACACTAGAAATTGCTATGAAATGAATCATTAAAGAAAACTCAACTGTGGTTCTCAATACTTTAGGAAAAATACAGGAATATTAGCGGATACAATTTTTTCTTTGTTAATCCTCACACAAAGACATTTTTCCATTGATTTTTAGATAACGAGGAAGGGAGGGAGGGAGGGTGGGCAAGGGAGAGGGGGAGAGAGAGAGAGAAACAGAGAGAGAGAGACATCCATTGATTGTCTCCCACATGACCCCAATCAGGGCTGGAAATAAAACCTGCAACCCAGGAATGTGCCCTTGAGTGGAAATCGAACCCGCAATCCTTCGGTCTGCAGGCCGATACTCTAACCACTGAGCCAAACCAACCAGAATGTTTATTCAGGTTAAAACTATCCTTTTCTAGATAAGTATTATAGTGTAAATAAAACTGTACTTTAAGAAATGAGAGAATCTGGGGGACAGTCAAGATGGCTGAAGCCTAAGGAAGTTCTGTCCACTTGATCCTAGCACAGGACTGGACTTGAGGCTAAACTGCAGAACATTCAACTTGAAAAACCACCTGAAAATAGCTAGATTGAGCATCATCCCATGGACTGAGAAGTTCCAGTTCAATTCCAGGTCAAGGCACGTGCTGGGCTGCCACCTCAATCCCCAGTAGGTGGTGTGCAGAAGACAGCCGATGGATGTTTCTCTCTCTCTCCCTTCCTCTCTCTCTCTAAAAAAAAAAAAAATCAATAAAAACATATTTTTAAAAATAGCTGATTGGAAATACTGCAAGCAGGGAGCACAGAGAGGGGATAGGAGAAGAAGAAAAGTGGGTGGAGTGAACTTGTGCAGCTGCACAGCGTGGCTAAAAAGCCAGAAGGAAGGTATAGCAGATCAGCTCCTGCCCTTGGGAGTGGGGGGACTCATCCCACACAGAGATCCCCAAACAACAGCAAAAGAGGAGGAAAGGGGGCCCACATAGCATCAGACCATGGGAATCAGAGGTGACTAGGCCCACCAAGGGGACTCAGCACTACCCCTGGCTAAAAGCAAATGTGAGGTTACACCACCAGCCTGGGAAGCTCGCCCTGACTGTGGGTGCCAGAGAGGTCTGAGTGGATCACCCAGTAAATCTAACGAGCCGAGTATTCATTGAAAGAACTTTGACAGGAGCTAGCCAGAGTGCCCTGGGAAAGGGGCTCATTCCTCCCCACCTCCTCGAGCATAGAGGAGGCATCCTTTACCCGTCCCACAGAACAGCAATGGGCTGTAAACGAGCACCTCAGTAGCAGGGCCTAGCAGCGGTGGGAATTCAGACATCAGGCCAGGTGGGAGCCTGGGCAGAAGCTCCAGAGTCATGCTGAAAGATCAAAAAGTCAAAGCAGGCCATGTTTTGTTTTGTGTTGTATTGTGCTGTGTTTTGTTTTATTTTGTTTTTCTTTATTCTCCCCTGCTTGGGTGGCAACCACAGGTTGCCAGCAATACAGGCAGAACTGAAGCACTGGAAGAAGAGGAAGAGACTGCCTTGCTCCTCCTATAAGCTATAGGCATTACCCCTAACACAAATCTGTTTAAACCATCCTGACTGGACCTGATACCCAACAGAGCCAAGTGCTGTGGAGAAAGGGAAAGCAAACCAGAACAAATACATTCAACTTGCAAGCCCAGAAGACAACTATGCTCTGAGTTAGGGAAGCTCCACCCACCAGACTACCTGGGACCCTGCCCTGCAGGGCTTCAGCCAGGAGGCCCAGGGCCAGACAGGGACAGCAATTCACATTGGCCTACACCAGAGAACTGCTCAAGACAACAGGGACCGACACCCAAGGGAACCAGATCAACAACACTGAAGCAAACTCCAGTGAGCTCTATACAGAACAGATCCACACAATACCGGATATTAGGTTATACTACAAAGCTATTGTAATCAAAACAGCCTGGTACTGGCACAAGAACAGGCATATAGACCAGTGGAAAATAACAGAGAACCCAGAAATTGACCCAAAACATTATGCTCAATTAATATTCGACAAAGGTGGCAAGAGCATACAAGGGAGTAAAGACAGCCTTTAGTAAATGGTGTTGGGAAAATTGGACAGCTACATGCAAAAAAATGAAACTAGACCATCAACTTACACCATACACAAGAATAAACTCAAAATGGATAAAAGACTTAAATGTGACTCATGAATCCATAAAAATCCTAGAAAAAAAATGTAGGCAACAAAATTTCAGACATCATACGCAGCAGAATTTTCACTGATACATCACCTAAGGCAACAGAAACAGAGGAGAAAATGAACACATGGGACTACATCAAACTCAAAAGCTTCTGCACAGCAAAAGAAACAACCACCAAAATGGAAGGGCAACCCACTGTATGGCAGAGCATAATTGCCAATGATACATCAGATAAAAGGTTAATTTCCAAAATATATAGAGTGCTCATACAACTCAACAAAAGGAAGACAAAGAACCTAATTAAAAAA